GCACACACACACCCATCCATTTTCTGCACAGTTCTGGGCTATCCTTCACTAGGGGACATTGTCTTCAGAGCATTCTTGTCTAGGACAAGCCTTTATGGGCATCACCTTGGTACCTTGGTCTTCACCAGCCTTCTTACTCACCAGTCCTGGCATTCACGGTGGCCGGTACACTCTGCTGTGAGTTCCTGATGCCAGAGATCCCAATTCCGTACTCAGTGCCAGGCACCAGATCTATTGGTAGAAGCAGAGACACAAAACATGACTCATCTCTGTGTGTATGTGTGTGTGTGTGTGTGTGCATGTGTATGTGTGTGTGTGTGTGCATGTGTATGTGTAAGGAGCAGAAGGCTGAAAAGGAGCAAATGGTCTCAGATTCCTCGTTATATCTTTTTAGTCCTTCCTAAACCTCTTCCAAAATGGTTCCCTTAGGAAATCCTGATTTTACTGCTTAGAAAATCCATACCATCTCAAAAGGATGAGCCTAGCTGGCACAGAACTTATTTCCTGCTGCTGGTCACCTTGAGCAGGCAGGGAGGCTTCCTTTAGAAGTGTGCTCTCCTCTGGAAAGCCTCCTTGTGAGACTCGGTGTTTCAGGTTACTGGCACTAGCGATGGGTTCTTTCCTTTGGCTTGACTTGGGAGTTGGGGAGCATATAATGGAGAAGAAGTGTGTGGACATGGGTTTGTGAAACATTTCTTGAATAGTGCATCTGAGGACCAAGCTGCATCTTTTGTACATATGGGGTTGAAGCCATATGGGGACTCCTGGCTGGCTCCTGGGAACAGCTGTGGGTGGACTTTTTATCTGAACCCGGGGCTGTCAGACCTTAATGTCATGGGATGCAGAAGCCTTGCTGCTGTGGGCCCCCTTTCAAGGCCGAGAATTAAGGACTCCTGAGGGACAGTCGGAAAATGGAAGAACTGCTAGTCTTTTGGTGGTTCAAGTCCATCAAGGATCAGTGGATAATTCTAGAAATACATGGGGTTATCTGCAACCTCGCCTTACCTTCTTCTACATTCTTTTTCAGACTAACTGGTTTAATGGGTGCATTTGTTTGCTATGGCCGCTATAACAAACTACGGCAGACTTAATGTCTCACGATGACACACATTTTATTATTTTACCGTTCAGGAGGTCAGAAGCCTAAAAGGAGTCAGTCAGAATGTATTCCTTCTTGAGGCTTTAGAAGAGTATCCATTTCTTGCCTTATCCAGCTTCTAGTGGTTGACTGGTTTCCTTGGCTTGTGGCTCCTCCCTCTGTCTTCATAGCCAGCAGCATAGCATTTCTGACAATCTCTCTTTCTCTGACCACTGCTTCTGTCATCACTTCTCCTACTCTAACTCGGATCTGCTCTCTCCCCATTCTGAGGATCCTTATTATTCAGTATTATATTTCTAGCTCTCAAGAATTAACTTAGTCACAATCAGCAAAGCCCTGTTGGCCATGTGAGATGACAAATTTATAAGCTCCAGGGATTGGGATGTACACACTTTAGTGGCCATGATTCAGCCTACCAAACCTTCATTAGTTAAGACTGGGTGTAGAACTCTACAAACAAGGTACATTCATCACCCCCGAGAGCCTTGCACGGTCGGTGGAAGTCCTCTGGTAGGCTTTTTTGTGGGACCCTGTGTGGGATCCCAGAACTATGTCTGAATTTAACAACACTCTGCATATACAACCGTCATGCTTTTTAATATATTTGAATGTAATTTGACCCCTCAGCACAACCTTGCAAAGAAGGTAGGATAAACAGTCTTTCCTACACATCTTTTATAAAATGAGACTGGAATACAAAGTACACCTGTGAGCACCTGGAGCAGCCATCCAGATTTCTGGTCTTAGGGTTCAGTGTTTTCAAGAGAATTGGAATAGCTGCTTGGGACTGCCCTGGAATCCCTGCGATTACATGAATGGTTTTGATAGGAAATGGATTGATCAACCCTGACATGTCTTGGCTTAACCAAAGGAGTGCTGTACAGTAGCTTAAAGGTTCCGCACCCACTCGCCCTAGGAAGGAGGAAGGCTTTAGTGCAATCCGTACAATCCGTAGACATGTGCTCGAGAACGGCGAACCTGGCAGGTCTTTCTGACCTAGCTCCATCGAAGAACAAAGTTCCCAAGCCCTGTCTTGGGCGAGGGGGAGGGGGAGGAGTGGGGCCAACTGGGGTCAGCCCCCTTTTTCCTTTTGGCACCAGCTCCATTCCCTTCCTAATCCTTAGTTTGTTCTTTCTCCAAAAGTAAACACAAAGCTCACTGCCATGGAATCACTTTGACTCATAGCAACCAAATAGAGGGCTTTGGAGGCTGTAAATCATTACGGGAACAGAGAGCCTTAACTTTCTCCCGAGGAAGGGCTGGTGAGTTTGAACCACCAGAGCCTGAAGTCTGACATACCTATGTTCACTTTCAGGTTCTGCCATCTTCTACCTGTAGTTACACAATCTCGTGTCAACTTGAGGGTAGAAAGAGTGAAGGGGTGGAGTTTAGCTGTCAATCAGATCACAGCCTGATAATGCCTCGTGTGGGGGTAGCCTGGTAATGAGGATTCTGGGAACTTCCCCTCTCTCTGCCTTCAGCTTCCTGTGGACAAGCCAGGTGAAGCTACACAGAGACCTGAGCAAGCCATGCGGCAGAGCCCATGCAGAGACAGCCCTGGGATGCTTCCACTGCCATTGAAGCCAGAGCAGTTTTCCCCCACCGGCCTGTGATCTTCCTGCATTTGGCATCATTGCGGGTGGCAGTGTGAGTCTGAAGAGGAATTCATGGACTAGCATCAGACATCTGGGCTAATATTGGACTTATGGATTTGATCTGGACTGGGCTGAGATGCTCTGTCTTATACATATATGCGTGCCTTTGGATTTGTTTCTCTAGTAAACAGACTACCACACTGGGAGCTCGATTAGGTAACGTTTTCCCGTTTCAGTTTCCATGGGGCGAGAAGGCCGTTCATGGTGAGGAGTCAGTAAATCCATGTCTGAAGCACGGTGGTTGGCCAGGGGCAGCATTTTAAATTCGTCTTGGTGGATAGTCTCATTGGCTACACAAAAGTGCCCCGGGTAGGTACCAGGATGGTTCCAGGTTTACCCGCTATCTGTCAATTTGCTAAGGTTAAGCCTGTTGGCTCCGGTTGAACCCAGTGATTCAGTGAGTCCAGGTGAGGCGTTTGCTCCAGGCTAGGGCCAAGTACCTGTCTCGTGATTGAGTGGGTGATTGCAGTGCTCCGAACCTAGTACAAATTTTTCTCCGTCAATATGCTCGGTAAGTCCCAGGTACATCCTTGGTTGGAGAAATTAGATTACCTTTGGGACATAAACAATTTTTCTCAGACAACGGATTGAGACCTTCAATTGCCTATAATGAAGTAGAAATCCTGCGATGTAGATGCAAGGTGACAGATTGTGGGAGCGAGACAGAAATTATATGTTGCCAAGCGGATCTAACATGTAGCGTTTCCATCCGAGTTTCTTATTTATGAAGCTTAAATGAAATGTTCAATAATTCACAACAGAATCATCTTCTCCCGGAAAACTGCAGAGCAGAATTTAAAGGCTGTGTGTCTAGGGGACCGGGGAGTAGGACTCGCGTATAGGTTTGTGCCGGGCTGCTTTCCTTTGATTTCCAGCTGCGTCTGCCCGCGCTGCAGGTGAATCATTGCTCTTTGCCAACAGGTAAAATGCGATTCTGCTGGAAATGAGGCACATGCGCTATCCTTAGATGTCAGCATGCGGAGGGCTCAGAGGGGTTTCTCACTTAAAAGATCCCATCGCTCTCCATAGGGGCTCCTTTTATCTCTCCACCCAACTCCTGCACATTGTAGCGCATAAATGTCCCTGTTCCCTTTCTTGAAAACAGTTCAGGAAATGCATCCCATAGGATGCCACCGTGCTCCATCTCTGTCTGGAACTTCCTTTGTTCGGCTTGGAAGTTGACATTTTTCTCAACTGTAGCATTGCACACCCATTCTTCTCTGAGCTACTTAACGCACCCAGCTCAGCCAGTCCACAGACACTATTGAGTGCTTCCTTGTGCTGGGCGCCTGACTGGGTCCTGTAGGCAATACCAGGGTGTCCTGAGGAATATCAGCCTTGCCCTTAACGAGATGAAAAGGAGTCTGTACTAAAGGAATCAATTAATTAGTCACTGAATACTGATCACATGCCATACCTTGAACCACACGCAGGAGTTAATCTGGAGAATCCGGAAGAAGGAAGGGAGGGAAAGAGGACGAGGGAAAGTACTTTTGAGTATCTATCTGATGGTGAAGAGCTCTGTTTTAACTGTAGTTTCTTAGAGCTCCATGCCTGTGACATTATTTAATCCCTAAAGCAGATCTGCTTGGAGTATACTGCTGATGGGCAAACGGAAGCTGGATAAGTCTATTCTTTGACCAAGACCATGAAGCACATGGATTGGTTTGAGTGCCTGACATTTGAGTTCAATGGACTTGTTTTGGATTTCTGATTCTCTGCACTGTTATCCTTAATTTGTTACCATCCACACAGTCTAATGCCTTTTCAAAGTCAGTAACGCACAGGAAATACCTTCCTGGTGGTCTCTGCTCTAGGCCAAGAGCCATCTGCCGCCTACAATGTTGTCCCTCATTTCTTATTATCCAGAGGGACCAGATCCCAGAGAAAGACGTCGTGTTCGGTAAGGGAAAGTAGAGGGCCAGCACAAACGAGGAGGGTCCTCAATGAGAGCGACTGACACTGTGGCTGTAACCATGAGGGGCCCCAGCAGAGCAGCATTTCTGAGGACGGTGCCAAACCCGGCAGTGCTCTGTTCTATTGTACACAGGGGAACCGATGCACTGGCACCTGGAAGCCCCGACATCGTGAAGCTAACGCACATGAAGACTGAGTTTGGAATCCGGTCCCTTGTCCTTTCTGTTGTACTACAGCATAGTCCTTGACCACAAGAATGGAAACTTGGGAGTAATTGATTTTATACCTTGAGTTTCTGCCTAAGACAGCTGTTTGAGAGGAGAGAAGAGCTCAGTACAAACTGGAGTAGCCAGGGAAGGTTTTTAAGAAAGGGGCTTGAGTTGTACCTTGAAAAGTAGCCCAGATGAGACTAGGGAAAGGGGAGAGAGTATGGAATCCTGTGGTGGCCAAGGTGGGCAGAGCGACCAGTGATTTCTGCCCTGTACTGGAGGACCATGGGTGATAAAGTAGAATGACTTACTTCCCTTTGTTTAGGAAGCTTGGTCTTCTTCATTGATGCT